CCAGGGTGAGGGTGGGGGCGGAAGTGTGCATCCCAGGGGCCTGGTCCCAGCCTTGCCTGCCTGCACAGCTGTTTGGCTCTGCGTATCCACAGCCTGGGACCGATGTCCAAGCAGCAGTGGCATTGAGTGGTTTTGTTGTGTGTTTCTCTGGTCTTCTGAAACTAACCTGATATTGTGTGTGCCTTATCCAGTCTGTGATCCGGCTCTCTGAGAGGAGCCAGATCAGCGTATTAAGGTCGCTAATGAGATAACTCCAGGCTACTTTCTGGGCCACACAATGAGCAGAGAGCCAGAGCCTGGCAGGGCTCCACGCTGTCTCCTGGAACACCCTTCCCCAGGGCGTCCAGGGTCTGGTGTCCTCCCGCCGGCGGCCTGTCCCTCGCCTTCTCCTGGACAGGAGCAGTTTCAGCGCAGTCCTCTCTGGTGGCTAGTTCGACCCACGCGTGCTGCCCTGCTGGCTCCCGTGTGTTTGTCACCCGACAGCGCCGTTCAGGATGGGCCCAGACCACATGTTTGACTTCTGGGAAGATGTAAATCCGATAGGAAGGTGTAGAAATTTAGCCACTGCCGGTCATTGCCTCCCAATAGAAGGTTCTGAGATGTCTGGGGGGGGGGGGGGGGATGGGGAAAGGGCAGGAGGGAGGAGGCCACAGACCCGGGATCCTGTAAACGTGGTCCCTGGTGGGTGCCCCCACCCCGGGCTTCGCAATGGGAGGGACCTCGCAGTGGGAGGGGCTTAGCGAGGAAGGTGCTTGGCAGGGGCAGGTGCTCGCAGAGGGAGGGGCTTAGCTGGCAGCGCTGCAGGTTCACTTTTCTGGGACCACAGCAGGAGTGGGGATGAAGGAGATGGCAGATTTGAGTGAATAATTGTGGGACACCCTGAGGTTTGTCTCTGGGCGTGGGCCCATCCCCGGGGTGGGGGTCTACACAGAGGTTTCAGGGGCAGTGCAGCCCGCTTCCCGCCCGCACCTGCTGCCCGCAGCCAGATGGCTGTCTAGACCAGAGCGACGCTGTGATTTCTTCCTCTGCACTTCAGAAACTACCCTGATGTTGGCATTGTCTGCTCTGGATGCAGTCCAGGGTCTAGGGTTTCAAAGCCGAGAGGGGCCAGGTCAGCTCCTTAATAAAACACCGAGAGACAAGTCGTGAGCTCTGGGGCGCTTGGCGATTCGTGCTCTGTCGCCGAGGCCTCGAGTTCTCTACGCGGGGTGCCGTGGCGGCGGCTGGGGCGCAGCTCCGATTTGAAAACTAGGGTGCGCTTGGGCGTCAGCGTGCGCCCAGGGCAGCTCGGCACACGTGCGGGAGGGTCCCTCCGGCCGTGTACGCCCACTCCCCGCTTCCCCGGCGGCGGAGTGCGCCCGGCTCCGAGCTCGCCGTTCGCCCGCTTCGCCACGTTTGCGCCCCCTGAGCCCCCATCGCCCTTGCCAGGGCGGTTCAGGGAGGGCCGAGGGGCCCCAGGGGGTGTCGGCGAACGCCCGTGAAGGGGCGAGCGGGAGGGCCGGCGGCGGGCGGGAGAGCGTGGGGAGGGCCCCGGGGCCCCCTCTGCCGGCCGCGAGCGCGGAGCCGCCGGAGCGAGCCAGGGAGGGAGCGGCGGGAGGGAGGGGAGGAGGAAGGGAGGGAGGGAGGGCGGGCGGGAAGCAGGGAGGGCGGAGGGAGGAGAGGAGGACCCAGGGAGCGCCAGGCAGCTGGAGTTTTCGCAGCGCTTGGCCGGGCTTCAATGCACAGCGGCGGCGAGCCGCGGCGGCAGCAGGCAGCCCGGGAGCTCCGGCGGCGGCCCCGCGCCCTGCCCCCTGCAAACTTTGCGAGCGGCCCGCCCGGGGGGCCGGGGGCGCGCCCGGGAGGCCCGGCTCGGCCCGCGGCCGCGCTCTCCGCCGCCGCAGCCCCGCGCCTCCCTGGGGATCCGCCGGCGGCGCCCCCAGCCCCGGCTCCCGGGCACTGCCCGGCGCGCCCCCCGGCTGGGGCGGGGGCGGCAGCGGTGTGGCCGGCCGCGGGCTGCCCCGCGAGGTGCGCAGCGGCGCCGAGAGCGCTCCCCGGCGGGTCCCCGGCGCACTCGCCGCGCCCGGGCAGCAGCCCGACCCGGCGAGCATGGGCGGCGCGGAGTGACGCTGCCGTGCCCGCTTGGCATCAAGGACACTCAGCCCGCGGGGGTGGGGACGAAGGGGGCAGCCCCCGAGCGCCGCCGCCGCTGCTCAGGCTCCGGGGCTGCGCGGAGGAGAGGGCGCCTGGAATCGATCCACATCTCCCGACCTTTTTGTTGGACATTACGCCCACCTCGGACGCTGCAAGAGGAGCTGTCAAGCCCCGCGGGCGCCGGGCTGACACCCTCCGTTTTCCGTCGCTGCCCGCGGCTTCCGCGAGCCTCGGCGGAGTCTCTGCGTTCGGGGCTGGGGCTGGAGGAGGCAGCCACACGCGCGCACACGCGCACGTTCGGAGGAGGGCGAGAGGCAGCGGCACAGGCACCATCCGCAGTGTCAATGCGGCGCTCCCGCTGAAGGAGGAGACGCGGCGTCTGCAGGTGAGGGGCCGGCCGACCGGGGCGCGGAGCCGGGCGGGCGGCGGGGCAGCGCGGGCAGGGACCCGGGTCCGGCCCGGGCGTCCTCGGCTGCCCTGGAGCCGGTGCGCGGCACATACACGCGCACACACACACACACGCACACACACACACACACAGACACGCACAGGCACACGGCGCCCGCGCACCTGCCCGCGTCCCACCTGGACAGCCGCGTAGGCGCCGCGCGGCCGGAGCAGGGCTTCCCCGTGTTCTTTCTCCTCCCTCGCCCGCGGACTCAGACTTCGGTTCCCCGGGACTTTCGGGGTGGGATTCCTCGTGTGACTGGCTCTCCCTTCCCCCGGTAGGCTGCGGGAGCGGTTTTCCCGTTCCCAGCCCCGCTCATCCCTCGCTGGCTTTAGAAACGGGAGAAGTCAGGGGAGGGTTTGGGAGACCCGCCCAGTGAATCCGCCGCGCCGTGGCTTTGGACCCCTCGGGATTTTCCTGGGAGACACACCGACAGGTATCTGGGCAGGTATTCGGAGAGCGCGGTGGCCGGGCGCACGGGGAGGAGGCCCCAGAGGCGGCGGGGGCTGCAGCTCTTAGGGCGGTGCAGATGGAACCGACGCGGCGTCTCCCCAGTAAGAGGCAGCACAGACCCTTTCTGAAGCGCGGCTCTGCTTCCCCGGGAATGCGCCGGCTTCCAGGCAGGAAGGGGCTTCGGCCTCGCGGCCGGGTCGCTGGTCTCGGGAGGATTGAGGGGAGGGTGGCAGATCCTCCTGAAAGGGACAGCTCTGTGCACAGCCCAGTGTCTGGAAGCAGCGGCTTGGGGACGCAGGACTTGGGTCTCCCTCTCACCTCCCCAGTCTTCCCTGGTACCCGGGCTGCTTTGCCGAGCGCCTGCTACACCTGCCGCATGCCTTTTGAGCAGCGTGTTTGCTGAAACGGCCTCGGAGGGGCCCAGAGAGGGGTGTAGTCCTCCCAGGGAGGAAGATCGCCTCTCTCCCGGCCGCCTCGCAGGGCCCACCCCGTCAGGTGCAAGGCATTCTCGGGCCTCCTGCGACCCGCGGAGCCTGGCCCTCCGCGTGTAGCATCTCTCTCCTGCAGCGGCGGGCTCCAGGTTCCATTTCCCTTTCTCCCTGCCTGCAGTTGCACAGGCCGTTCGTGTGCAAACTTTTTTCTGGAGGAGCCTGGGGTTCCAAAGGATTCCCCAGTAGTTTGATCTTGGGTTTCTATGAGCAACTCCTTTAGGGGCTGGGTTTTTGTAGGCGGCAAAGGGTGAAATCCAAGTAGAACCTATTTTGGAGTTGATCATACACCCAGCAAGTGTGTGTGTTGCTATAGCTGCCCCTCTGAGGTGGCTTTCGGAGCAATCTGATAAAAATATGGAATAAGCGTGTAACCTCTATACAATATCACGCTTTAAGAATGTCCCACAAACCCACCAGTGGGAAGAATGTGCTGGGAGTCTTCCAGAACTTGAGAGAGAAGGGGCAAACATTCTTTTGAACAAGGAGACCTCAGTACTGGGCACAGATTTTGGGCTGTTTTTGTAAGTCCTGCAGTTGGGTGCTGAAATGAAGGGCTTTTCCCACACCCCCATCTCCAGTATTTTCAAACTCTGTGTAGCCCCAGCAGGCGTGGCTGGCCAGGCTGAGGGTGGGGGTGGGGGGACTGTATCCCTGTAACCCTCGCTGTGTATCCTGTGCGCTGCCCTTGGATGGATGGAAAGGGGGGACAGGGAATTCAGCAAAGTTCTCACCGCGCGGAGAGATCGGGGATGGGCATGCGTGCGCTGCACCTCCCCCATCCACACCTGCAGTCTCCCTCAGGCTCAGTGTAGTCAGCTGGTCCCACCCCGAGTGACAGTGAGGTCCACCTCTGGCTGCCAGGCCTCAGAAGAGCTGGAACAGTTCCATACGCGTGCCCTTGGAGTGTTTGGTCGCACGTATGCGTACGGCGGCGCCACATGGCTTGCAGCAGACAGTGAGCCCCAGCAACAGTGAGTGCCTACCAGGTTCACACTGCCTCACAGGACCTGGACAGGGCAAAAGGTCAGGGTGCAGATCTTCCTGAAATGTCTGTGCATCGTCCCTGGGAGCGCTGATCCTTTCTCTGTGTCCCTCCCTACCCGCTTTCCTCCTGCGTTTGCAGCTCAGGAGCCGCCACTTGGCTACCAAACCAGCAGTCACTATGCTGGTCATGAGCTAAACATCAGGGTTCAGAGTACCCCCGGACTGTGTAGGACTGTGTAGCGTTAGGCACCGGTTTGTGTTCTTGGAGGAAGCAGGCATGAATCAACATGCGTGGAAACCGGGGTGTGTGCCGCATCTGATTTTCCCCTTGGCTTCCTCACCCAGACTTGGAGCAGGCCATGCTGCCACTCTTCTGTGGCTTCTTCCTAAGTTCTCCCTCGGGGGTGGGGTGGGGGTGGGGGTGGGAGCGGAGAGGGCTCTGCTCCCGGGGAAGGGAGCCCCAGCCTGGAATGGTGGGTCCGCCAGACCCTGGGCGCTTGCTTGCCCGGCCTCTCGCTGCTCTCCAGGCTGGCGAGCAGCCCCCGCCGATGCAATCCTGTCCTCCCTGGGCTGGCCTCTGGCCTCCAGGACTTCATCCCGAATGCCCACCGAGGCCGTGCACGCATTTCCGGGGGAATCTGAGGCAGCCCGCGTGTTTCCTTTTTTCTTCTCGGCGCCTGCCGCTGCTGCTCGCTGCAGACGGAGAATCTGCATGACAGTCTGCCTACCCTTGGCCTGCGGATCCTTTTCATCACAACGTGGGCTGCTGGGAATGGAGCAGGGGGCTTCCTAGGGCGGCAGCCGTCCTCCGGCGGCGCGAGAGCCAAGGGGGCTGGGTTCCTAAGCGCTCTCCGCTCACAGTGATCACCGGGCTTTGATGCAAAGAAATTGCAGCCAGTCTGTCTCCTCCTAGCCAGCTAGGGGGCATTTCTCGGCTGCTTCTCCCCGCGCTCGCCAGAGAAGGCACTAGGCAGACAATGCACACGCGAGACCTGTTGCAGCGGCTCGGGGATGGGGCGAGACGGCGCCAAGAGCCCCGCCACGGGCCTGCCTTGATGAGTGTGTGCGACAGATGTGCCGGCCTCGCCTCTTCCCGGTTGGCGGCCGCCGCCGCCTCCCGATGCGAAACTGGGTCAAACCCGGGGCCCTGGAACAGGGTTCGTTTCTCTCCGTGGACACCCCTCTTCTTCCTCTTCCTCCCCCGCCCCCGCCGCAATCCACCTCTTGGCTTTGTGTGCACATCCGCCGGCCCATTCGCCCTCAAATTTGCGGCACTCCAAGAAATCAATATAACATGAATTTAACGACAGCTGGATGATTAAGTGTTATTTATATTTAACAGCGGCATTTTAAAAAGACGTGGCGCTAATAAATCAAACGGCTGTTTGCGAGATGCACATGATTAGAGTAATTGCCCCGTATGCTCCATTGAGCAGTGCTGGGTCCGCACAGAGCGGTGCGGACGGACGCTGCTGTCTCTTTAAAAGCTTCGAGCCCCACTGCTGCTCCCTTCCCTGAACTCCCACCCGATCCCGTCTCTCTCTCAGTCCCTACTCACTCTTGGGTCCTCCTTCTCGCTGGCTGGCTGGGCTGCGGCATTCTAGTTGTGGCAGGAAGGTGGAGCCAGCAGGAAGGCCGGGAGACTGGAAGGGGTTCTGCCGAGGAGTGCTGAGAGATGGATCTTAAAAGGCAGGCAGGCAAGGCAGGCAGGGGGTCCTGATTCCCAGAGCCAAGGCCTTGCTCCCCAAGGAGGGGGCCACTTCCCTGCTTGGTAAGCAGCAGCTTGGATGAAAAGCTGCCTGAGAGGGCGAGAGCCCCCAGATCCCTGCACTAGACAGCGTCCCCAAGCCTCCTTGGTGATGAGGCTGTGAGCTCCTAGCATGGGGTTTAGTCCTTATGAAAACAGCGAGATGGGAAATAGTAATGATGACTGATGATGATGGTGCCCAGTACTTGCTGAGCAGCTACTTGGATGAGGCGCCCATTAAGCAGACTGCACAGGTGGGCACACTAACTCCTCCTGATACCCCAGGGAGGCCGTGGCTGTTCCCAGCCTCATGTGCTCGGCTAGGAGACTGAAACGAGGAGGTTAAAGATGTTGTCCAGGATCACACGGCCACCAAGTGGCCGAGCCAAGCTTCTACCCTCAGCTTTCTGAGCCGGTGACTCCAGTCACCACCCTGCTGCCTGTCTCTTTAAAGTGTGTGTAGGGTGCACGGTGCCACCCCATTGGCAGGCTTATGGGCGAGTATGCTGGGGGAAGCCTGGCATACCTGGCCCCGGTTTCTCCCTGGGATTTCCTCCATGTGCCCAGGCTAGCTGGTCTAGTCTCTGAACCTCAGATGTCCCCATGCATCAAAGCGGGCAGTGAGCCTTATCCTGGGCAGCCAGTGGATTGTCAGATTGTGTGGACCATTCTGGCAGGGTGCTCAGCTCCTGGGGGTGACTCTTCACTTCATGAATCTCTTTTTCTCTTGAGGAGAATGAAGGAGTGAGTGAGAGAGTACTGAGTGAGGTCCCCGTCTCTGCTTTCAGGCCCAGGGCGCTCCAAGCTGCTGGGAGTGCGTGTTTCCCTAGTGAGTTTCTCAAGCTGCTGGTGTTGTGCACACACCACTTTGCTGTCCAGTCCTGGCCGAGAAGGGAGTATAAGTGAGCTCCCAGGTTCCACGTTGCCACGTGAGGCTTGATCTTTTCCCACTGCTCACAGGAGCGGCTCAATACTGTTTCTTTCCCTCATTCATTAGCCTTCAGGTCCCAGCTTCTGAAGTCCAGGAGTGAGGATAGGTCTTTGCCTGTGCACAGCACACCATGCTGGGTGCCTGGATCTCTGGTGGTTGGAGCAGAGACTGTTGGAATTGGTGCCAATGGGCTGTGAGTGGGGAGAGTCGTCCTGCAGCGTGGTGGCATTTTGATAGATCTCCGTACATATGGAGAAGATAATCCGGACCTGAGATGGCACAGGCTGAGCCAGGCATTAGGAATTACATCCTGATGCCGAGAGGGATGGGA